AGAGCAATCATAGACAGTGTGCCAGAGGACTGGATCCTCAAGTTGCAATCCCCTCTGCAATCATTAGAGGGCAACTGGGTAATCAGAGAAGGCTCTCAAGACCCAAAGACAGTTTGGAAGATCCTTGAAGTTAAGGACGACCTAACAGTCTCTACGGTTAAAGGAACAGTGGTAGAGAGCGGGCGAGGAAAACTGAGCATAGTTCCGCTGGAAGAGGAAATGGTTACCTTGGATCAAAATCTCCAACAGATTGTTGTGGATAGACAGTTATCCGGTAAAGGGCAGGAAATCTTCTACTTACCGGTGGGGACAACATCGGTGTCAAGACTGTTTGCTCTCCCCCTGCACTGGGGTTGGAGACATCCAGGTGACAGAGAGTGCTGCGGCCTCACAGAGTACAAAGCTAAGGTTGGATATATGGAACAGGTTAAACCGTGGTCCGTTCCCTTCCAAGTCAAGAGCAAATGGGTGGCTGAATGTCAGAGTACATTCGAAACAGGCACTGTGCCCAGGGTAGTGACAACAGGGGATCTCCGTATTGGATGGTCCTCCTTGAACTTATCCCGTCAGTGAAGTTTGCCAGCCTGGCATGGCTGCAGTCTCACCGGGCTGTTCCCACAGCAAAATGGTTAAACCAAAACAGGATGCAGGTGGAAGCCAAGTGCTGCAGGTGTAAGAAAGGCCCTGAGACGGCCGAACACCTGTGGTGGGACTGCATAGAATCTAGGAGAATCTGGATGTGGTGGGCGGGACATTGGGAACGGTTTGGTCCCAAGGAGATTATATGGGACAAAAGATTTGTTCTGGATGGAATACCCCCTGAGGGTACCACCTCGAGGAAAAGGTGGGGATATGTGGCGATTGCTGTTAGGGCGGCCATTATGAATGTGATTTGGAAATTAAGAGATGATAGACTATTCAGGAACAAATTCTACTCAGATTTGTTTATTCTGCAGACTGTCCTGGGGAATGTTAGGGCTATGATCTGGGCAGACTGGATGAGGCAGGCAAAAGCAGTTTCGAAAAGGAGTAGACACAGACGGTTCTTCTCCACCTGGGGCCTGAATTCCATCTTGGTGAGTAGGAGCAAACGAGGAGGCATAGTCCTGTCATCGTGGCTCCTGGGTCCGAGGCCACCATGAATGGAAGGTGGAACAGTACCAGAGGTACTACTAGAGCATAGCTAAAAGCAGGATTGCTAGGGGGACTGAGGACCGGGCTACTTCAAGAGTCGTTAGAATGAGACCGAACTATCAGAATTACTTAATCAGGATTTGTTAGAATCAGTCCTGCTGTTTAGCAGGACAGGAAGGTGCTCCAGCTAGGAAGGATTGGGCTGAGGCTAGATTTTCAAGGTACAGCTGGCGCCCTACTAAGGGTGAAGAGGTCTCGCCCACTTTGGAATGCTTCTCTGTAACACACGCACGTAACAGTTGATTTTTTTTTTATTTTTTATTTTTTTACGTAACGGTTGATAAGGAGGTGGTCGTAACGCCCTGGGCTGGAGAGGAGAGTCTGATTCTTCCTTCGGGCCTCGCCACACCACTGTCGAAACAACGAAAGTACGACCGCATGTTCCTGCCGTTAATGGCCAGATGCATTCGTCTGACTTGCAAACACAGGTAACAGTTGATGAAGGGCCTCGCCACATCACTGTCGAAACGAAAAAAGTTCGAGTGCATCTTTTTTTTTTTTTTTTTTTTTTTTTTTT